TGCATGAGCAGGCCGGAGGTGAAACAACATCCGAGAACGCTTGTGGAACGGAGCAGAAGAGACATCCACCCCGAAAGTAAGCTGCAGTGGCTCCGCCAGCGCCGCACGAAATGAGGCGACAATTGGCACAAGATGACGGTCCTGAAACAACTAAGAAAGATAGGACAAAACAACCCAATCAGACTTGAAGACAACCTACGAAGAGACAATAATTTGCCGAAAGGACTGCCAGGAAATTTCATACTGCCATTTAGACGAAACTCGGAGGTGGGACACCATCAACTAAGCCACCTGATCATCATAAAAGTGGAGATACACCCGTGTCAAAGAGACCAGACGCGAAGAGTGGAGGAGAAGATCGAACCAGCTACGTAGCAGACCGGACCGATCTGCTGAAAGAGGCGGAGCCGCAGGAAGACTATTGGGTTCAGACATCGAGGAAGAAGCGCCTGAAACCAAGGCAGCCAACAGGACTACTCTCCCTTGGCAAGTCTCCAACCGAGCCAGAATCCGGAGCAACAACCGGACCGGAGAGAAGAGGTACAGGTAACTCCGCCTCGACCAGTCCAGCCAAAAGGCATCGACCCTGATGGCCTCGTAGTCTGGGAAGGGCGCCACATAAACTGGAAGACTATTAAACCATGTCGATGCGAATAGGTCCACCTCTGGGCACCCGTAAGTCTAGTAGAGCCAACTGAACGAGTCGGCGTCGACCATCCATTCCGTGGAAAGGGGAATGAACCGAGACAGGCCATCTGCCAGGACATTTGACACCCCCTGAACATGAACCGCCAGGAGAGCCAAACTCCGAAAACTCGGCAGACGAGTCACCCAAAGTGACCAGCCCCAAAGCACCAAGGACCGCATCAAACCCCCGCGGTTCAGGCAATGAACTACCAGGGAGCGGTCCATATGGAGCCAGATCATTGCTCCTCGAGCGACCCAAATCCTCCGAAGTGAATGCCACACTGCCGCAAACTCCCTTGCCATGCTGTGAGCTCAACGGAAGGACGGACCCCACCAACCCTGGCCGACCTGGTGAGTACTTGTCACAGAACCCCAGCAGAGAGACGAGGCATCCGTGAACACATCGAGGGAGGGCTTGAGGAGGCGCCACGGCACCGAACCCCGAAAATCCCGCAGAGGATGCCAGCGACGCAGCAACCGACGCAAGGCTCCCGAGATCCGAACCCATCGATCGCGAGGGCAGCAGAAGGGACGACTCTGAAGAAACCAGAACATCCGCTGAAGCCGGATCTGACCCGATGGGTAGACCAGCACAGCAAAGTTCAGGCTCCTGCACAGCCGCTCAAACAACCGATGTGAGACCCGGGTGCCCTCCAAAAATAGCCAGAGGCGGGACCGCAGCTGCAACAGCGTCGCAGGAGGGAGAGACAAGGAAGCAGTCCAAGAGTCCTACACCAGACCCAGCCAAGTTCGAACCTGAGAGGGAACCAAAAGGGACTTCCTCCAGATCACCATGAACCCGAACCCGGTGAGCTGGGAAAGAACCATATCTCTGGCGAGCAGACACGCAAACTGGCTAGGAGCCCACACCAGGCAGTCGTCGAGGTAAGCCAGAACCTGAGCCCCTAACAGAAGCAAACAAGTCACCACGACCCGGTAAGGTGGGTGAACGCTGGAGGTGCCAGATTCAAGCCGAATGGAAGGCAATGAATGCGGTAAGCTTGTCGCCCCACGACAAAACCAAGCCAGTCACTGAATCCCGGATGAATCGGAACACACACAATAAAATTATATAACCAAAACGCGTCTCGGAGGATCCGAGACACCATCCAGGCACCCGGTGCCAAAAGCAGCCGGACCTGAGAGAGTGGTCATCCGAAAGGAGGGGCAAAACTCGCAGGGATTCAGACTAGACAAGTCCAGTATGAATCACAGATCTGCACAGTCCCGTTTCGGAACTGAAAACAGGTGGAACCCACCTGAGGGATGTTGTCATTTCGACCACACCCAAGCAAACCCACCCCTGGATGACCTGACGGAGCACAGGAGAAGAGGCCCGCCCTGCTAGCACTGATCTCCCTGAAGGAAGAGGAGCGACCCAATGCCACCACAGGTCGGAGGAAACCACCTGAAATGCCCACGAATCGTAGGACCAGGCAAGAGCAAACAGTGCAAGCCTCCCCCCTATTGCCCCGTCAACGGAGCATCCGGCAAAAGGGCCAAGAACCCCTACGAGAGCCCAACCGACGCTAAGAGCGATCACTGTGCCGACCAGAACGCCGACGGCTCCAGAAGAGGTGCTGGCCCCGAAGCTGGCACTACTGGCTTACGACGACTGAAGGAACCTCAAAACCTGGCACGATCCTTGCAGGCAGGACCTCCAGGCCCCCCCTTTCCCCCAGAAAACCTACAAGTCCGACAAAGGCCGTCACAGGACGAAGCCGCCTGAAGAAAAAGCACCACCGCAGACTCTGCAAACAGCAATGGACAAAAAGGTGATGAAAATCTAAGAGCCAAAGCCCAAGACGATTCCAAAATTTGGACGAGCACCGCCTGTCAGCACATGATGCGAGAAGCAAAGAACAGACGCCGCCTCCGTCAGAAACAGTGCATACAACTTCACCAAAGCAGCCAGCACCCGAGCTGCTGAAGAAAGCACACCGGACCCTGGCCCGGAACCCAGCTCCTCCACACCCAGCACGAGATAGTTCAAAGACAGCTCCAGCAGGGAAAAGAAGCGCAAGAACCAAAGCCAAGTGCCCACAGGTGCAAAAATCCTCGGCCACCAGGGATGCCGAAAGGGAACCTGCACGTGAAGCCGCACCTGACCGACATCATAAGGAAGGACGGGAGCGAACTAGCACACCTTGAGATGCTCCAACTCACCTCCCAGGAAAACCTGAACGACCGTAAGCAAATCTCGCCATTCAAGTGCGCATTCCGACAGGACGAATGCCATGCCCCCCAAAGAATAAAAGGCAGTCTGCCAGCCAGGAAGACTCTGACACTTTGTAACGCACCCAATAAAGAAAAAGAGGAGCCAAACTCAAAAGGAAAGCTTCATTATCGAGGTGTAATCCGGGTCTCATAGGAGGTAAACCACAAGGGGCTTCCCACACCCTCCTCGGTAGGATGCGGGAAGCCAAAAAACCCTCCAGAAAGAGGGAACCGAAGAACCCAAGGGAACTCGGACTTAAACCCGGGGAGAAGTCGAACTCGTAACAAAAACGTACAGGAAGGGGGAAAGGAAAAACCCTTCCCACTGTAACAACAAGCCCTGCACTGAGGGTACCAAACACCCAAGCAGGGTCAAGTGGGGCTCAGGCCCCCCCCAAGTCAACTCCTCCCCAGCCCTGGAATCCTCCACGTCAGGACCCGGGGCCGAGCCGTCCTCCAAACCCTCTTCCTTTGGAGAAAAAGCAAAGTCCACCGGAAAAGCAAGGATGAAGGGGGCCCGCTGGCATGGCCCAAAAGCTCCGGCAGGAGGACCAGGCTCGAATGCCTCCACCGCTGATCCGGAAGGGGCAATCCCCGAAGCCACCCGAGTCTCACTACAGTATAATTCAGCGGGGCAGCTGTAGGGCATCCGGAACGGCAACCAACCTCGCACGTTGCTATAACTTAAACCTTGCATGCAACGCTAAAGCTGCCTGCACCCAAATATCAGTCTCAGTGGACTGGGTGAATGGAGTACAAGCAAAGAACATCACTTGCAGGTCTCTGGGGTCATAGGTGTCACTGACCCCAACAAGCAACAAGACGGAGGCAGATGGTGAATGTCACCCCAAAACAGGGGGACAGAGCAACCTTCAAACTCGCACAAGGCAAGGTGGGACTCAGATATCTCCTACATTGGACCACTGAGCCCCAATGGGGGTTTCCAGGGCCCTTAGGCTGACTGCTAAGGGAAGCCCAGGCTAGGTACTGCTAACCTGTTATCCCAGAGCTACCAAGCAAACAATCTAAAAGCTGAACCCCGCAACGTGTGCAAACACAGAGACTTAGTGGAGGGCCACCAAAAACCTACCAGTGGTCCTACCACCACACCTGGCAGACCCCCGCCAGGCAAAACAAAACAAAAACAAAAGAAAACCCCTGCAAAAGCACAACGTCTCCAGTAGAACAGAGCCGGTCGCTATGCATATATCAGACAGCTGCACAGTACCTCGAGTCCCAGCCAGTGACGAAACTACCTCCTAACCCATGGGAAACAGGAGTAAGAACCACCCCAGCTGAACCCCCAAGGGCAGGCAATCACCGAGCAGCGACAGAACCACATGGAGGTAGCTGCTCCTGAACGGCTCATGGAAGATAACCCTGAGGCCGCAAAGGCAGTACTTACAGGGCACTTAGGGAAGGTGGCCCTAGATGCATGCAGCCCCAGTACTCTTGTGTTACGTCTGGTTCACACACCACCAAAACAGAGCAACAACACCGCACTGCAGCACTGTGCAAAGAGTGGAGCCAGAGCGATCGACCATCACCAACACAACAGCCTCTTGACCTGTGGAGAGTTGCCAGAGTGGAGGTCTGGGACCCCCCCTCATCCCCCTCGGGGAGGGGGGGGGTTGCACAGATGGATGCGCAGCGTTTGTGGTGACGTCATACTTGTTTCCTTGGTTTTGATTGGGGAGTTCTGTTGCTAGTTCAGCTTTCAGTTTGCAATTTATTTGATCAGCAGCAGTTTGTTTTGGAACTCCTACCTTCCTGGGTGCCTGACCTGGTAGATGGCAAAGACTGCTTCCAATTACACGGGGTGGGGGGGGGGGTCTTTAGGCCATTGCTCCTCGTGCCTCTTTTGAGGGGGCCAGGTTCTGGCTCTGGTCCCCGGTACGTTGCCACGGTCTTATATATACACATCAGCCCGGTATAGCTCCGGGAAGCTGAAGGGGCTCTCCACAGAAAATACTATATTTGACACAGGACAAATCAAGAGGACTGTATCCATAATATGTAGTAAATAATTATGAATAATTTATTTACCAATACGAGGCTGCAAAAGTAAATAGATAGGCATTCAAAGTATAACTCACACAGCAAAGATGCTGGAGGCCCACCATCTGTTTGTTAGAGGGTTCTTGGTCCACAGCTGGTACATGCGGTGCACGAATGATATCGAGATCATACCTGAAATTACAGCCTGGAGTGAGACTACATTTTTACAAAATGGTTTCATTTTATGAGAACCAAGCACAAGACAAGTCATTCTGAGAAAATAAGACAACTGAAATCAGCATTCAATCTTAAATTTATAATTAAAAAACCAGCATTGAATGTAATGAAATGCCATTTTCTGGGCGAGACCTGGAGGCTTCCCGGAGCTATCCAGGCTGATATGTATATTATTAGACTTTGTCATCTGTCAGTGTGAATAGAGTTCTAGGCCTACCGGGGACCATGAGCCAGAACCTGGCCCCCTCAGAGAGGCACAAGGAGCAATGGTCTATAGAAATGCACATGTGTGTGGAGCATTCCATGTCTGCCATAGACAGAGTCGGGCACCCAGAAAAGTAGGCGCACCAAAATAAATCCCTAATCTGGTTAAAACTACTACTGAAAACTAAAAGGTACACAGAACTCCCCAACTGAAAAATGAGCAAATGAGCATGACATCACACTTGCCGCGCAGCTTGTCTGAGCAGCTTCCCCCTCCCCGGAAGGGGGAATGGGGGATCCCCCCAGACCCATTGCGCCGGCTCCTGTCAGTTCGAGGCTGGATGTCAAAACACGCAAAAAAAAGACTAAATAAAAATACCCGGAGGTGCGTTTCGCAAACCAGACGAGGGCCTGTAGGTGCATTACGCAGTTCAAGAGTTAAAGAGGAGTAACCCTGGTCTCACAGGAGGTAAGCCGCAATGGCCTCTCGCACCTCATGAGGCGGGATGCGGGAAGCCGAAAACCTCCGGAAGGACGGGACCAGTGGACCCGGAACCGAATCCATGTGGGGGCCGACTCCAAATCCAACTGTTGGCTTGGATTGGTACCAAAACCCAAGCAGGGTCCAACAGGGCCCAAAGCCCCCAAATCAACTCCTCCATAGCCCCAGGAACCTCCCACAGCAGGTCAGCCACTGGTCAGACCCAGACGCTTCGGCAGGAGGAAACAGTTCAAATGCCTCTGTCGCCTCCCCGGGAAGGGCATCCCCCGAGACTGCTCAAGTCTTAAAACCAACTAAACCCTGCCCCGATTCTGAAACCCTCAGACGATTCAAAGCCGGAAGCAGGGATAAAGGACCAGGACGAACTACAGCAGGGGAAGGACGAGGGGGCGTTGACTGAACCAAAGTTAAAAAGACTAACATCTCCAAGTCTGGGTCCCTATAACTAAAACAGGTCTTCTGGATCAGCAAACAACCAAGTGCAATGCAGCAACCTAAAATGAGAGTGCAATGCCTGAGCTGCCTGCACCCAAATAGAGTCATCGGTGGACTGGGTGTACTGAGTCACATACAAGCAACAAAACTTGTAGAACTCCAGGTTGAAGGTGTCACCGACCCAGCAGGCAGCATGACAGAGGCATAAACGGTGAAGGTCACACAGAAACAAAGGGACCAAGCAACCCTCAAACTCGCACAAGGCGAGTGGGGACCCAGGGGTCACATCCGTCAGATCTACGTGCCTCCACACGTTTTCCCAGGGTCCTGAGATGGAACTCACGCTTAGGGAAGTCCAGGCAGGGTACTGTTCACAAACTAATGGCACACTAATGGATGGTAACAAACTGTTAAAGCTGCACCCCTGGGACGTGTACACTCATGGGGGGGCCTAGTGAGGAACCACAAAGATACAAGAGGGTGAGACCAAGATACAAGAGGGTGAGACCAAAACCAAGGGGCAGACCCCCACCAGGTAAGAAAACAAAAGCAAAGGAAAAACCCTGCAAGAGGACAACATATCCAGGTGGAACAGAGCCGGCCGCTATGAGAGGTGACAACTAGCTGCACAGTACCCTGTGCCCCAACCAGTGACAAATACAACCCCCCCTGCCCTGAGGCAAACAGGAGTGAATGAAACACCCCAGCTGACTCCAAGGGCGGCCAATCACCGAGCAGTACAAGACCTTACAGAGGTAGCCCCCCAAAGTGACATGTGGAAGCTGGCCCCAAGGGCAGTACTTACAGGACACCTAGGGAAGGGGACCCTAGGCACATGCAGAACAAGTACTTGTGAGATTACTCCTGGCTCACACACCACCAGAGAAAAGCGCCACATCACAAGGCACAGAGCCATAGGACAGAAAACAGGAGCCAGAGTCACATGAACATTTGCCAATCATTTCAGCCACAGAATTACAGAGATGGATAGCTGGCGTGAGGGTCTAGGGGCTTCCCCTTTCCCCTCTTGATGAGGAGGGGGTTGCCCAGACAGTGGCGTGGTGACGTCATGCTCATTTGCTCATTTTCATTTGGGGAGTTCTGTCCACTAGTTTAGCTTTTAGTAGCAATATTTTATCCAGAATAGGGGTTTATTTTTGGACGCTTAACTTTCTGGGTGCCTGACCCAGTTAATGGCAGACATAGAATGCTTCCAAACACACGGCGGTTTTCCATAGGTTATTGCTCCTCGTGCCTCTCTGAGGGGGCCAGGTTCTGGCTCGTGGTCCCTGGAAGGCCTAAGAACTCCATTCACATGACCGATGCCAAAGTCTAATATATCCATATCAGCCTGGATAGCTCTGGGGAGCCGAAGCTTGGGCAGCTTCAACAAGAAGTGACAAATACAAACACAAACTGCATAAACCACCTAAACACTGGAAAATAACACTTAATATTTATGATGAAAATACAGGGTACTAAATTTGGAGGAGAAGTACTTACAGAAGTAGAGTACTAGCAGAAATGCAACTCCATTTTGTACAGCATTCAGAGAGTCTGCGTATTTGTCACCCCAGCCTCCCCAAGAAGACCTCTGCTCCTCATATTTTGTACTGAAACATGATAACTAGATATTAGTTGAACATAAAATAATGCAGACCTAATATATATTATTAAGAAGTCAAATGAGATTGCCGTCACTGCCACGAGCACCATTATAACAATACCACCATTATAACCACTACCATCATTATAACTACTACCACCATTATAACCACTACCATAAGTACCATTATAACCACTACCACCATTATAACCACTACCATCAGTACCATTATAACCACTACCATCAGTACTATTATAACCACTACCATCAGTACCATTATAACCACTACCATCAGTACCATTATAACCACTACCATCAGTACCATTATAACCACTACCATCAGTACTATTATAACCACTACCATCAGTACCATTATAACCACTACCACCATTATAACCACTACCATCAGTACCATTATAACCACTACCACCATTATAACCACTACCATCAGTACTATTATAACCACTACCATCAGTACCATTATAACCACTACCATCAGTACCATTATAACCACTACCATAAGCACCATTATAACCACTACCACCATTATAACCACTACCATCAGTACCATTATAACCACTACCATCAGTACCATTATAACGACTACCATCATTATAACCACTACCATCAGTACCATTATAACCACTACCACCATTATAACCACTACCATCAGTACTATTATAACCACTACCATCAGTACCATTATAACCACTACCATCAGTACCATTATAACCACTACCATCAGTACCATTATAACCACTACCACCATTATAACCACTACCATCAGTACCATTATAACCACTACCACCATTATAACCACTACCATCAGCACCATTATAACCACTACCATCAGAATCATTATAACCACTACCATCAGTACCATTATAACCACTACCATCAGTACCATTATAACCACTACCATCAGTACCATTATAACCACTACCATCAGCACCATTATAACCACTACCATCAGTACCATTATAACCACTACCATCAGTACCATTATAACCACTACCATCAGCACCATTATAACCACTACCATCAGTACCATTATAACCACTACCATCAGCACCATTATAACCACTACCATCAGTACCATTATAACCACTACCATCAGTACCATTATAACCACTACCATCAGTACCATTATAACCACTACCATCAGTACTATTATAACCACTACCATCAGTACCATTATAACCACTACCATAAGCACCATTATAACCACTACTAACAGTACCATTACAACCACAACCAAAGTTCAGACTCCCGCATATTTACTCGAGCAACCGACGAGTGACCCGGGAGCCCCCCCCCCCAGAAACAGCCGAAGGTGGGACCTCAGTCACAGCAATGACGCCGGAGGAAGAGACAAGGAAGCTGTCTGAGAGTCTCACACACGACCTAGCCAAGTCCAAACCTGAGAGGGAACCAGATGGGGCTTCCTTCAGTTCACCAAGAACCCGAACACGGTGAGCTGGGAAAGAACCAAATCCCTGGCGAGCAGACATGCAGACTGGCTGAGAGCCCACACCAGCCAGTAGTCGAGGTATCCCAAAACCCGAACCCCTAGCATATGCAAGCGGGTCACCAAGACCTGAGAAAGGCATGGGAAAATGCGAGGTGCCAGATTCAAGCCGAATTGAAGGCAATGAAGGCAGTAAGCTTGTCGCCGCACGACAAAATCGACCCAGTCCCTAAACCCTGGATGAATCTGAACATGCCAATATGCGTGCCAGAGGTCCAGAGACACCATCCAAGCATCCGGCTCCAAAAGAAGCCGCACCTAGGACAGAGTGGTCATCCTAGAGGAGGGGCAAAAGACCCTTTTGTCCAGAATGAACCTCAGATCTGCACAGTCCTGTTTTGGGACATGGAACTGATGGGAAATGCACGTGAAGGACGTGGTTGTTTCGACCACGCCCAAGTGCACGCACTCCAAGATGACCTGACAGTCATCTTGAACTGGAACATATTGGAGGAGTGACAGGTAAGCTACTAACATGGATGAAAAATTTCCTAACTGACAGAAAACTGAGGGCCGTAATCAGAGGCAAGGTATCGGATTGGTGGAATGTTACGAGTGGAGTACCACAGGGTTCAGTTCTTGCACCGGTAATGTTCATTGTCTACATAAACGATCTACCAGTGGGAATACAGAATTATATGAACATGTTTGCTGACGATGCTAAGATAATAGGGAAGATAAGAAACCTAGATGATTGTTATGCCTTTCAAGAAGACCTGGACAAAATAAGTATATGGAGCAACACTTGGCAAATGGAATTTAATGTTAATAAATGCCATGTTATGGAATGTGGAATTGGAGAACACAGACCCCAGACAACCTATAAATTATGTGAGAACTCTTTAAAGAATTCTGACAATGAAAGGGATCTAGGGGTGGTTCTAGATAGAAAACTGTTACCTGAGGACCTCATTAAGAACATTGTGCGAGGAGCCTATGCTACACTTTCTAACCTCAGAATTGCTTTTAAATACATGGATGGAGAAATACTAAAGAAATTGTTCACGTCTTTTATTAGACCAAAGCTGGAATATGCAGCGGTTGTATGGTGCTCATATCTTAAGAAGCACATCAACAAACTGGAAAAGGTGCAACGACATGCCACTAAGTGGCTCCGAGAACTGAAGGACAAGAGCTACGAGGAGAGGTTAGAGGCATTAAATATGCAAAAACTAGAAGATAGAAGAAAAAGAGGCAATATGATCACTACGTTCAAAATAGTAACAGGAATAGATAAAATTGATAGGGAAGAATTCCTGAGACCCGGAACTTCAAGAACAAGAGGTCATAGATTTAAACTAACGAAACAAAGCTGCCAGAGAAATATACGAAAATTCACTTTTGTAAATAGAGTGGTAGACGGTTGGAACAAGTTAAGTGAGAAGGTGGTGGAGGCCAAAACTGTCAGTAATTTCAAAGCATTATATGACAGAGTGCTAAGGAGACTGGACACCATGAGCGTAGCTCTCATCCTGTAACTACACTTAGGTAATTACAGAGAGCAGGAGAAGAGGCCTGCCCCGCAAACCCCTAGCCCCCAAAAGAGGAGCCACCCAATGCCACAGCAGGCTGGAGGATATGACCTGAAATGCCCACAAATCATGGGACCAGGCTTGAGCAAATGTCGTGAGCCTCCCCCCACCCTCTCCCCCTGCGAAAGGGCTAACGCCCCTTACAAAAAACCGACTAAAGCGCAGAGTAAACATCATGCTGACTAGATGCTGCTGGCTCCGAAACTGCCCCCGCTGGCCTACCACGACCGAAGGAACCCTGAACCCTGGCATGACCCAACTGGGATCGACCCCCAAGACCACCCCGGAGAACCAACAAATCGGACCAAGGGTGACAGCTAAACGAAGCTGCCTGCAGATACTGCATCACTGCAGAATCTGCAAACAGCAACGGACAAAAGGGTGAAAAACATCTAAGAGACAGGGCCTGCCGGCACACGAGGCAAGAAGCAAAGAACAGACACACTGCCTCCTTTAGAATCGTCACAAACAACTTCAACAAGACAGCCGATGCCAACACCGCTGAGGCAAGCGCACCGGACACATAGTACCCAGCGCCTCCACATCCTCCTCAAGCCAGTCTGAAGACAGCTCAAGTGGGGAAAAATAGATGCAAAACCGAAGCCAAATGCCCCCGTGCGCGCAAATCCTCAGCAACCAGGGAACACTGACAGGACGGGAAACTGCAAATGAAGTTGCACCTGACCAATATCCTTAGGAAGAACAGAGCGAATAAGCACGCAGTGCTGCAAGTTGCCCTTCCCCAGGTAAACCTGAACAACGGTAGAAGTTTCCCCCCCATTCATGCATGTGGGTCCGACAGAATATATGCCACGTCCCTAAAGAAAAGAAAGGACAGTTTGCCAACTAGGTACACTCCGGCACCTCGTAACCCACCCAATAATATAAAGTAGAACCGAACTCAAACGAGGAAGGGACCATTATCGAGGCAAAATCCAGGTTACGCATTAAGGTAAGCTGCAATGGCTTCCAACCTCCTTAGGCAGGGTGTGCGAAGTCGAAAACCTCCGGAAGGAAGGGACCGAAGGGAACCCGGAACCGAACCCGGGGAGAAGCAGAACTCATATCAAATTCATACAGGGAGGGGGGAGTAAGAAAACTCCTCTCCCTGCAACAACAAGCCTCGCACCAAGGGGCTGGTCCCAAACCTGCACACAGAAATAACATCACATGAGACCAGAAGACATGGCAGGATGTGCAGAATACCCCCGTTGAAAAACAGAGGTGCAACTGGTACTCTGAGAGAGAACTCTATCAACATCAGAGGTCCGAGACTGTTCAACACGCTTCCACTACACATAAGGGGCATAACTGGCCGACCCCTCACAGTGTTCAAGAGAGAACTGGATAAGCACCTCCAAAGGATACCTGATCAACCAGGCTGTGACTCGTACGTCAGGCTGCGAGCAGCCGCGTCCAACAGCCTGGTTGATCAGTCCGGCAACCAGGAGGCCTGGTCGACGACCGGGCCGCGGGGACGCTAAGCCCCGGAAGCACCTCAAGGTAACCTCAAGGTAAGGGTACCAACACCCAAGTGGGGTCAAACGGGGCCCAAGCCCCCAAGTCCACTCCACCCCAGCCCCAGGATTCTCCATGCCAGGACTAGGGCAGAGCCGTCCTCCAAACCATCTGCTCCTAAATAAAAGGCAAGAGTCCAAAAAAAAAAAAGCTTGGAAAAGGGGTCCCTTTTCCTTTTCGACCACGCGAAAAACCAACAACGTTGAGTGTAATGAAACGCCATTTTCTGGGTGAGCCAGGAGGCTCCCTGGAGCAAACTGGGCTGATATGAATGTATTGGACCCTGGCATCAGTAAAGCGAATACAGTTCTTAGGCCTACCAGGGACCTGGATACGCTCGCTTTATCGTCCTCATAGGTGCTGTATCTCTTGCATCTGACCTTTGTGTTAGGTCTTTATTGCGCCTAGCTTTACCAATATTATGACCCTTATGTTCTTCAAACAATAAGGTTTGAATTTCACCGACAGAGCGTTATCTTTCAATACCGCGTCGGACAGTTGTTTGGGAGCCACAGGCGCGTGCACCACCCATGGTTGCTCATTCAGTACTAACCCAGCCGGCAGCCCTAGGGCATTCTGGGAATTTTTTCCAAGATGGCTGCCTCTCACTGGAGGTCCTAAGAGTCCATTTCGTACACAACCAACCGCGTACACATTTAGAATTGGTACCGAAAAATCAAAAAGAGTTTTCTCGGTTGGTGCAGTTTCTCGCCGACCGAGAATACTCGGTTGGCGCAGTTCAGTGGTTAAGAAAGTAATCCAGATTTCTCTTGAAGATGTCCATGTTTGTTCCAGAAATATTTCTTATGCTCGTTGGGAGGATGTTGAGCAACTGTGAACCTCTGATGCTTATATAGTGTTCTCTGATTGTGCCTATGGCACCTCTACTCTTCACTGGTTATATTCTGCATTTCCTTCCCTATCGTTCAAAACTTCCATATTGTGCTCAGTTTTCTCCATTTCGTTCCATATCAGCATGCAGGGTGATATATCTGGAGTGGAGTTCACTCTACTCCAGACCCCATAGAGGGGGTTATCTCTGAACAACCCTGGCAATGCACGGGCAGCATGAAAGGGTAACCTAGGGAGAGTTGTGAGCATATGGAGCTCCAAACACTTTTAACTCCTGGCTCACACTGCAAAATGCACAGGAACAGCCACTAAGGCAAAACCACTTTTAGTTGAAAAATGCGACACTGGAACCAGAGCAACACAGAGAACATCTCGCACTTCTTCCAATAGCAAAGAACTGAGGGTGGAGCAGTTGGCTAACCCAAACTGCCTTCCTCCTCTTCCCAAAGGAGGAGGGGAGGTGGGGCAAACATGCTCTTGCTACACACAGAAATCACAATAGCGTGATGCATCAAATGAACAAATCCACAAGAGCCGTGACCTTGTGGTTCGATCCCTCATCATGGCCCTTGTGGATTTGTTCATGCTCTTGCTAGTTTTACGAGTCGTTTGTTTCATTTCATTCGTTAGTTTAAACTGTTGGGGAAAATCTTTTGGTGGTTTTGAGACTGCAGTCTTGCTAACTTTCGGGGTGCCTTTCATGGCGGTGGAGGTTATCTTGAGGTTATCTTGAGATGATTTCGGGGCTTTTAGTGTCCCCGCGCCCTGGTCCTCGACCAGGCCTCCACCCCCAGGAAGCAGCCCGTGACAGCTGACTAACACCCAGGTACCTAATTTACTGCTAGGTAACAGGGGCATAGGGTGAAAGAAACTCTGCCCATTGTTTCTCGCCGGCGCCTGGGATCGAACCCGGGACCACAGGATCACAAGTCCCGCGTGCTGTCCGCTCGACCGACCGGCTGTGGAAGACATGAAGAATCCATAGAAATGTTATCATACATGCCACTACTCCCTGCACTTCTCTAGAGGAGACCAGGTTCTGGCCCGAGTAGGCCCAAAAGAACTCTGCAACTGATGGCACCTAGTAGTCTGCCATTATACAGTATCAGCATAGTAGCTTCAGGGAGCCACAAAGGCTCCCTCAAAACAGATCTTTACTCTATTTTCCCAAGGTGGTGATTGCATACTACTCACAAACATATCAGTCTGAAGCCATCCAAATAAATTTGTGCTCAACTAAAATTACATGTACATTAATGAACATCCTACCTGTTATTATACACAATAGGAACTTCGTTGGGATATACATATATACAAGAAGAATTATGCTGATTGGTGATGTCCCAGCAGAAGCTCGCTAACGTTAGTCCTCCACATAACAAGACGACTGCTACTGAAGGAACGAACTTGCAGATGTAGTACAGCACTACATAACGAAAGATCTGCCCAGGGGTGGAAACAAAAGAAAAAAATAATGAGCAGGAAATACAGAAGTGCTATAATTGGGTTTTTGTAAGACATAATTATTTGGTTAAAAATTAAATAAATTTGTATTACATTTTTTAAATTCTCTTAATTTCAAAATGTTGTATTTTGATTGCAGCTAATTGAGCCAGGTACCTATGGTCTTCCCATCCTTTTGTACACAGCTATATATTAGACTATAGACAGAGAGGGAAAGGGAATGTATGTGTGTGAAGTAGTGGTGCTTACCAATCAATGTTAGGTGTGAGGAGCAAGATCAACCTATTTAGGACCCCACCTCCTACTATTTGCACCTGCAGTGTTTTAACTGAGTTTCATTCAATTTTTTGCTATATTTGCTCTTGAAACTGTGGTTACAAGTGGCTTCCACTACTACTTGCTTGTGAAGATGCTCTGTGTACTAGTCCTTCCTCACAACTCTTTGACCCTTTAGCATTTCTAGCTTCCACACAGGTTTTCTTGTCTTCAGTTGGAAAAGGCTGAACTTATTCACTGTGTATATTCCCTCAATATGGTATTTTGGATATAATGATCATATTACGTATGGTTCTTCTCTCTAGCATTGTTCGCCTGAGCTCTCTTAACCTGTCTTAGGTCTCTTAGTTCAGGTACTAACTTTGCTGCAAAATCTATGGGGATCTTAATTTTTTGTACTATACTAGATATTAATTTTCATATCAAAGTGTCATGGAATCATGGTAGGAACAGTAGTCCTCCCTAGCATTAGTCAAACCCCTATATGGGGCAAGCCCTGATACTGCCTACACTAAATCTGCATCAAGGCTTAGGGTCTGCACAGGAATATCCCTGCACGAAAAAAAAAACTCTGCATCCACTGGCACCTGAAGAGTTACAGCACAAAACTTATAACTGCTTGATGGGGTTCTGGGAGTTCTTCTACTCCCCAAGCCTGGCCCGAGGCCAGGCTTGACTTGTGAGAGTTTGGTTCACCAGGCTGTTGCTTGGAGCGGCCTGCAAGCCCACATACCCATCACAGCCCGATTGGTCCGGCACTCTTTGGAGAAAACTATCTAGTTTTCTCTTGAAAATGTCCACAGTTGTCCCAGCAATATTTCTTATGCTCGCCGGGAGGATGTTGAACAACCGCGAACCTCTTATGTTTCTACAGTATTCTCTGATTGTGCCTATGGCATCCCTGCTCTTCACTGGTTCTATTCTGCATTGCATTTGCATTTGCAATAATGCATTTGCATCATTTGCAGATGCAAATGCATTATTGAATGTAATGAAATGCCATTTTCTGGGTGAGTCCCGGAGGCTCCCCGGCATCCCTCCCTCCCTCCGGTCGGCGGCGTTTTTCGCGTATTTTGACATCCAGCCTAAGAACTGCCAGTTGGATCGCCGGCTTGGAGGGTCTGGGGCTCCCCCTTCCCCCTCTCGGGGAGGGGGGGGGTTGCGCAGACGGTGGCGCGGTGACGTGATGACGTCATGCTAGTTTGATAATTTTGTTTGAGGAGTTCTGTCCACTCGTTCGGCTTTCGGTACCAATAATTTCACCAGAATAGGGGTTTGTTTTGGGGCGCCTACCTTTCTGGGTGCCTGTCCTGATCGATGGCAGACATAGAATGCTCCCAATCACAAGGGGGTTTCTATACGCCATTGCTCCTCGTGCCTCTCTGAGGCAGCCAGGTTCTGGCTCATGGTCCCCGGTAGGCAAGAACTCCTAGCACTTTGACTGATGCCAGAAAGTTATACATATCCATTCAGCCTGGATAGCTCCGGGAAGCCGACAGGGCTCCCCCCAGAAAAGGGGTGTTGGCAGAGCCTTCGCCAGACGAGGTCTACTCCGCCCGAGCTGTCAGACGGCAGTTGCCACAAATATATTATTACCTAATTATTTCAATGTCTCTGATTATTTTTTTCTTAGTTTTTTGCAGTAATATTATTCCATACAGTGAATTGTGGTATATTTATATAATAAAATGTGTGAACCATCGCTGTACTCAAAATTATGGTTTGCATATTAGTGATTCAATTATTATGTTCATAAAACAATAAACAAATAGTTTTGCTGTTCTTACACTATATACACAGGTTATATATAAGTATCTGCATGTTTTGTTCACCATAACGAACTACTAAGTTGGTCTTGTGAGTCAAAAAGCAACGAGGAGTGACCGCCACATACCTTCGAGCCACTCACTGCCACTCCCTCCCTCAACACTACCTCACTCGCCCTCAATCTCCTCCTACAATACTGTTTTTGCATTTATTCACTATACACAGACGTTATATATACGTATTTACATGCTCTGTTCACCATAACTGTACATCTAAGCTTGTATGGTGAGTAAAGGCACAAAGACGTAGCTACACACACAGTCAGCTGGTGGCGGCCGCCCTCAAGGCCAGACACACTAATATTTCTCCTCCAACAATACTGTTTGTGGTGTTATTACGCTATATACACACATTATATATAAGTATCTACCTGCTTTATTCACCATACTTGTACAAGTAAACTGGTATGGTGCCCAAAGGCCATAGTGGTCACCAGTAAACAACATGATAAGTCGTGCAGACGACGCTACCTCCCTCACCAAAATGGCGGCTCCCAACCTACTCCTATTGCTGTTTAGACCCTCTATACACACATTATATATAAGTATCTACATTTGTGTTCACCATAGCGAACCACTAAGCTGGTATGGTGAGTGCAGTCAATAAAACGTGGCCACACACAGTCAGAAATAACGCCACCACCCTACCCTCCCACAGCATTACTCCTCCCTCCATGGAGCACAGTGCTAAATATCCCCACAATCCTGCTATTATCAGAACCCTGGTCAGTTTTATCCCAGTCAGGGATCTTCTGTAATAATATCATTGCTACATAATAGCATGAACAAAAATATTATGGCAATTTTATGCGATGCTGTGGTCACAAGCTGAACAGCAGTGCTGTGAGCTAATGCTGTGTGCGTCAGGCTTGGTAGCTCACTCAATACTGAGGCCCCTAACACCCGGGAATTTGGCCCACGATTTTTTTTTAAATGGCGTCTCTTTACCTGGTTGATACCTGGTTGATGGGGTTCTGGGAGTTCTTCTACTCCCCAAGCCCGGCCCGAGGCCAGGCTCGACTTGTGAGAGTTTGGTCCACCAGGCTGTTGCTTGGAGCGGCCCGCAGGGCCACGTACCCACCACAGCCCGGCTGATCCGGAACTTCTCTTAGAAAACCGTCCAGTTTTCTCTTGAAGATGTCCACGGTTGTTCCGGCAATATTTCTTATGCTCGCTGGGAGGACGTTGAACAACCGCGGACCCCTGATGTTTATACAGTGCTCTCTGATTGTGCCTATGGCACCTCTGCTCTTCACAGGTTCAATCTAGCATTTTCTTCCATATCGTTCACTCCAGTACGTTGTTATTTTACTGTGTAGATTTGGGACCTGACCCTCCAGTATTTTCCATGTGTATATTATTTGGTATCTCTCTCGTCTCCTTTCTAGAGAGTACATTTGGAGAGCTTTGAGACGATCCCAATAATTTAGGTGTTTTATCGCGTCTATGCGTGCCGTATATGTTCTCTGTATTCCCTCTATTTCAGCAATCTCTCCTGCTCTGAAGGGGGAAGTGAGTACTGAGCAGTACTCGAGACGGGACAACACAAGTGACTTGAAGAGTACAACCATTGTGATGGGATCCCTGGATTTGAAAGTTCCCGTAATCTATCCGATCATTTTTCTGGCTGACGCGATATTTGCTTGGTTATGCTCCCTAAACGTTAGATCGTCGGACATCATTATTCCCAAATCCTTGACATGCTGTTTTTCTACTATGGGAAAGAGCCCTAATGAAGGTGTGGTGAACCCCCATGTATCAGCGGGCCGTTTAAATCTTGCGTAGTACTCCAAAGCATCATATGATGTGATGCGCAATTTACTGCAAGTCGGTCAAAGCATCATATGATGCGATGCGCAATTTAAGGGGTAATTTACATTATATTCCATTTGCCAAGTGGTGCTCCACACACTTTTTTTTTGTCAAGATCTTCTTGAAGGGCAAAAGTGTGATGTTATTTCCATGTGCAGATTTGAAACCAGCCCATTTAATATTTTTCAGGTGTAAATTATGATGTATCTCTCTCTCGCTTGCACTCTAAGAGAATACAGATTTAAAATTTTTAATTGGTCCCAATAATTTAGATGTTTTATAAAGTGGATTTTAGCAGTAAAGGGTCTTTGCAGATTCTCCAGGTCAGCAATTTCTCCAGTTTGAATGGCCCTGTTACTGTGCAACAACATTTCACCTATATTCTACCTCAACTAATAGCAGGTAAATTTCCAAGTCATGGGCACAAGAGCAGACTGCAGGCTGGCCAGATTTAATGACACTGCAGACAACCTGAGATATACAGGCCTTGGAACAGGGGATCAGTGTGACAGGAAAAAGTCACGAGGAATTCACCTTGGCAGAAGTGGTGGCACTATGGTACTGCCGAAGACCCACCATCGGACACAACACATGATGCACCCCTGGCCTAATTATCAACCACCAATGGACCACTAAGTAAGCCAACCTGCTCATTTCTTGTCAGAAAAGAAGGTGCCAGGTGCAAATGAACAAACCCCCTACCAGGGTCAAGTCACAAAATCCCTGACATAGGAGGAGAGCATGAAGCTCACCCAGCTGACAACTGAAAGCAAGAGAAACCAAAAACAAAGCCTTCAAGAAACAATCCTGGGCTGAGGCACACACTGTAAACCGATCAGAAGAGGGGAAGGAAAGAACACGGTCAAGAGACCAAGCACATTCAGGTGGTGCATAAGTAGGCCAAGGGTGAAACATCGTACAAGACAGTGTGTGAAACGAAGCTGAGGTAGTATCGATCCTGAATGCAAGCTTCAGCAGTTCCACTAATGCTGCATGGTATGAGGAGACAGTATTTGGCATAATATTCGGCAATTTGAGTCCTTCAGGTCTCAAATTGTAGCAGGACTTGGAGGAACAGCCAGACTAATGGAAAGAGGCACAGAGACTCCCACCTTGACTAGTCCAGTAGAAAGGCCTCTACTGAGAGGGGCACAGAGACTCCCACCTTGACTAGTCCAGTTGAAAGGCCTCTACTGAGAGGGGCACAGAGACTCCCACCTTGACTAGTCCAGTTGAAAGGCCTCTACTGAGAGGGGTCTCAAAATTAGGGAATGGTGCCACATACAAAGGAAGGTGCCGAGACCACGCCGGCACAAAGAGGTCCATGTCTGGGTGCCCGAGCGTCCTGCAAATCCCCAGGAAGAAGGCAGCAACAGTGGTCCACTTAATGGAGATGGAAAGGAACTAGGACAGATCCTTGACAAAAATGTAGAACATTCCCTGAAGATAAATGGCATGAACCAAACCTTGAGAACCCAGCAGACAAGCTATCTGAAGCGACCAGCTCCAAAGAGACAGGGACCAAAACAAAACCCTCTCCTGCAGTTGAGACAATGAACCACAGAGGAGTAGTTGGAATGGAGCCAGATCACAGAGCCTAAAAGAATCTGAGCTCTCCACAGTACATAACATGGCCACAAACTCCCGCACCATACTGTGCACCCGATGAAGGAGTGGAAACCAATAATCCTGACCTGCATGGTGACTGCTGGTCACAAAGCCCCAAATGAGGCATCTGTGCACTACCATGCAGAAAAATGTGATATATATTATTTTATAGAACAGTTCATATTTGATAATGCATTATATGGAGCACTTACTTGTTTATTAAGTACAACAACATTTTTTCCTGTCGCCTGATTCATCACAGCACGATTAGTTGGAGCTGCTACCAAGGACACGGATATCACAGGAATTATTACACTCACTATCCAAACAACATCCCCTGTAAAAGAGCAATAAAATTATTTGAAGAATAATAGTTTAGAAATATAAAACTAGCATTGAATGTAATGAAACATCTCTTTCTGGTAGAGCCCCAGCGGCTCCATGAAGTTATCTTACAGAGACGGCTACCCACTACTACATTAGTCGCAGAAATCCTTTGTCCTTTTGGCTTACTGGTGACCATAGTCAGAACTTAGTCCCCTCACCGAGAGACAGAGAGCTGGTGACTATTACTGTCACCTCACAGGAAAAGCAACCAGAAAGTCAGCAAAGGCAGATAACTGCAAGGTTCAAGGGAAGTGAAGCACTGAAAAGGCCAAATGACTCTATAACAATTCAGGAAAAGACATATGAATCACTCGATACTGGTACCAATAGTTGCCACTAGACAGCCCAAAGCCCCAGCCCACAGCTGCCTCCAGCAGTCAATCCAGAGCTGATAGACAACAAATTGACAATCCTGGTAGGACAGGCAGGAGTCAGGGATCTACTGGGATCCTACCAGAAAGAGCAGTTTCATTACAACCAAATGCTGATTTTGTGAGAGGAGCCTCTTGGTGGCTCTCTGAAGCGAATCACAGAGAACAGGAAATAAAGGATTTACCAAGGATGAGGAGGAAACAACCGGTACTATTCCAAAGAAGAGACCACTATGTCTGCCATCGACTGGATCTGGCACCCAGAAAGATAGGCGCTCCAAAACAAACTCCTATTCTGGTAAAAATATTGCTACTGAAAGCTGAACGAGTGAACAGAACTCCCCAAATGAAAACTAGCAACTAGCATGAGGTCATCACATTGCCGAGCCACTGTCTGAGCAACCCCCTCTCCAAGGGAGGGGGAGGGGGGAAGGGGGAGCCCTAGACCCTCTCGCCGGCGATCCACCCTTCAGTTCTTAGGTTGGATGCCAAAAACATGAGGAAACACCAGAGGGAGGGAGGGAGGGGTGCTCAAGAGCCTCTGAGTCTCACCCAGAAAATGGCGTTTCATTACATTCAACGCTGGTTTTCTGGGGGGAGCCCCGTCGGCTCCCCGGAGCTAACTACCCACAGAGGAAGGTCAAAGGGACGGAACCGGGAGGCGGACACCAAGCACCCACCACGGAAGCGAGACAACCAGCAGCAAACGCCAACCCAAGGCGCCACAGCCCCGAAAAGTCCTGGGAACAACACGAGAACAACGAGCAGCAAGGCACCCATATGAACACCCAAGATCCATGCCCAAATGACAGCAAGGACACGTCGCTCAGACGGCAGCGAGAGCAGCGAAGCCACGAACGCCACGGGCATGAGGGAAGAACACAGGCAGCTTAGCCGCAAGAACACGGATGACAACCCGGGACACCATCACCCGCGAACCAGGAAGAACAGAACCGGATCAACGCAAATCGCGCCCCAGACACAGATGCCGTGGCACGCAAACAACAGAGGAGGGCCGCCACTGAACACAAAACACAACACACCCCTGGCCCGACCAACGAAGCACCAACAAACTATGGACCCCTTCAGAACGCAGCAGCCCCACCCCGTGCCAGAAAAGATGGAGACTGCTCCCACCAAACAACCAAAACGCTAAAACCGAAGGGGCAAGAAAACTCAGTGACCCGACCCCCAGAGGCAAATGCCAAAAGGAAAAAGAGCAGACGAAAAAACAAACCGGAACCGAAGGGGCACTACCAACCGAGAAGACGGAGCATGCTGACCAGAGACTAGGACGGTGCAAGCGGCGCACAAACAGACCTGGAGGGGAAACTACGCATGAGACAGCTTACTAATGGTGCAGAAGGAACACCAAGACCAAAAGCAAGCCGAAGCGGCTCCGCCAGCGCCGCACGAAAAGAGGCGACAGTATGTGGCAAGATGACGGCCCCAAACCCCCACCAGAAAACCAAGCCGACGCTAACAAGAGTAGCCACCTAAGAAGGGTCAGGAAAAGGAAGGACCGCCAAAATACCCCATACTGCCGCCAAGAGAAGTACGCAGGTAGGACACCTACCACGAAGGCACCCGACCACCAACCGGAGGCGAGACAGAACGGAAGCAGCCCCGACAAGGCCCCTCTGAGCCCAGGAAAAGGCGGAGCCGCGGGAAGATCTCTGGTGCGACCACCGAAACTCAGGCGGTACAAGGAGATGGAATGAAGGCAGACCCCCCACCAAGTAGATAAACAAAAAGAAAAAGAAAACCCCGCAAGAGGACAGCGTACCCAAGCGGAACAGAGCCGGCCGCCATGATTGGTAAAGACAAGCTGCACAGTAACCTGTGCCCCACCAGTGCAAAACTGCCCCTTACCCTAAGGCGAACAAGGAAGACAGAACACCCGAGCACACAAAGGGTGGCCGAAAACCAAGCAGTAAACGGTTTAGCAGGGGCAGGACCCAAGGAACTTGTGGAAGGTGGCCCCAAGCCCCAAAGCACCTAGGGAAGGGAACCCTAGGCGCATGCAGCCCGAGTACTGGAGACTCACTCCCGGCTCACGCACCACCTAGAAGACAGACACCACACTCTAGGTACAGTGCTGAAACAACTACTGGAGCCGGAGCACCTGCCTGAAATGCTTCGGACATAACCGGTGCCTATAGCATCAGCCGAAGAACTGATAAGTGGATAGCCGGCATGGGAGGTCTGGGGCTCCCCCTTCCCCCTCCCAGGGAGGGGGGAGCTGTGCAGACAGCGGCGCGGTGACGTGTGACGTCATACTAGTTTGCTTGTTTTCTGTTGGGGAGTTCTATCCACTAGTTCAGCTTTAGGTAGCAATTTTAACCAAAATAGGGGTTTGTTTTGGAATGCTTACCTTTCTGGATGCTTGACCCGGTCGATGGCAGACCCCTTGCTTCTCTGAGGGGGCCAGGTTCTGGCCGTGGTCCCTGGTAGGCCCTAGAACTCCATACACATGATTGATGCCAAAGTCTGACATTAGCATATCAGTCTGGTAAAGCTCCGGGGAGCCAACGGGGCTCACCCCAGAAAAGACGGCTACAACCGAACAAACCTACCACCAGGACCAAAAGAGCAGAAACCCTTGAGCCAGAGGAGAGCATGAAGCTCCCCAAGCTCCACCCCATGAACAAGCTTGGGAAACAGGAAAAGCCATAGGCATACTGGCTCTCTTGAATCCAGGAGGTGAAGTTTTCCCGCAGGCGGACAGCTCTCTTGGCGTGACGTCACCGTCTTCTAAGACAGTGATTGGTCCAGCTCTCTTTGCTTCGTTTTAAACTTACCGGTTCCCTGTAAATTTCCACTACATAGAGGAGGAAGCAGATTTCTTCTTGATTCTTCATCCTCACAATTTTCTGTTGACTCTCAATATCAATACTAATTATTCCCTACATTATTTTGTCATCTCTTTCTCCACAGTTTATACATGCTCACTAGTAATATTAGCCCTCAGTCGTGGAGGTAAAGCCCAGGAACAACTCTCACATTGGAGTAACCTAGACTACGGTGCCTCATATCATGACAATATACAATATGCGCTGTGCATTAAGTCATAACAAAATCGTGTATATACAATAATCGCCGCTCAAGGGTTAATATGAGACAAATTAGTTTTCTCTATTTAAATTTAAACTTGCATTTTTAATCTATTGATGAAATATATGAAACCCAACCCACTCCAACCTGGATGGGTTAGATTTTAAGAAAAAACCTTGGATTTTTACTAACCCTGTACTACTGTAAATGAATGATGAATCAGTGTAAAGTTACCTGAGGACAAGAGAGGAGGAAGAGCAGCTGTAGCAGCCAGCAGCTGGAGGAAGGTGAGGGAGAGGCAGCAGCATGCCCAGAACTGTACGCAGCTCATCACTTGCTGCATGTAGTGCCGAGACTGAAACATATACACAAAACCATATAACCACCAATGTCAATCATCTCTTTCATCATCATTAAGCAGCTTCCATGGCGCAGTGGTAAAACGCTTCCAGGCGCTTCATGAGCGCTTTGACCTGGGTTAGTATCCTGGCCGGGGAGGATTGACTGGGCCACTAATCCTTAACTGTAGTCTCTGTTCACACAACAGTGAATAGGTACCTGGTTGTTAAACAATTTGGTGGGTCATATTCCAGGGAAAAATTTGGATTAACCCTTTAACTGCGCAATGCGCCTGCAGGCCCACATTTGGGGTGAGCTACGCGCCTCCAGGTATTTGTATTTTTCACTTTCCATTCAAAACTCCCGTGGCTACATGGGGTTCACATCAGCTTCCTCAGGGCTCTTGTAAACAGACGCCATCTTTAAAAAAAATCGTGGTCCACATTCCCGGGTGTGAGAGTCTCAGTAGTGAGTGAGCAACCAAGGCCGGTGCACGCAGCATAAGCGCACAGCACTGCTGTTCAGCATAAGACCACAGCATCGCCAAATAATGTCAAAATATATATATAACCTATATTATTTAGCCATGATAGTATTACAGAAGAGCCTGAGTGTGATAATGACTGTGTACAATGTTCAAATATCAGTGATTCCATGATGTTCACAATGTTCACAGCGCTAGCCACAGCACCACAGCATAATTTCGTCCATCTAGGAATCTTCAAACGACTTCTTAGGTTCCTTTTCAAAATAAACTTGTGGTCATTTATTCATTTACAGGGATTAGTGAACAGGATTGTAGTTATAATTAGCGTTGTGCGTAGTATTGTGGATGGAGGAATTTTGGAGAGGGAGGGAGGAAGGAAGGGAGAGAATTGAGGTAGCTTCACTGTGTATGGCAAGCACTCTTGTTTTGCTCACCATACTTGCTTTGTGGTTCGCTATGGGGAACACATATATACATGGGTATATACAGTGTGTGTGCCTATAGTGTAATAACAGCAACAGGAGTATGTTGAGAGGAGCTATTTTAGTGAGGGAGGTGACGTCGTAATCGTAGCGTCGTCTGCTGTGTGATTTCTCACGCAGTGTATGGTGGCCACTGTACTGTCTGGACACAATACCGGCTTACTTGCATAGTTCTGGTAAATAAAACATGTAGATAGGTATATATACCATGTGTAAATAGTGTAATAAAAACAATAACAGTATGGTGGGAGGAGCAAGGTTGGCGAGTAAGATGTTGGAGTGAGGGAGAGCTGGCTGGGTTTGGCTGCTCACACTAGTGGTGTTCTGAATGTGTTGATGGTGAATGTAAATAGTGTGTGAGAGTGTATAGTGTGTAAATAGATTATATATATACATAAATTAACATGATACATGGTAAATATGTGCAACATATGTGTACACAAGTGTCATGCACGTAACACAGTGTCTTCGGACAGTACTGATGTTTTATTGCCATAATATGGTATGCTGAGTGCAGTCAATAAAAGGTGGGCACACACAGTCAGAAGACATCGCCACCTCTCCCCCTCCCACAGCATTACTCCTCCCTCCATGGCGCACAGCTTTAAATATCCCCACAATCCTGCTATTATCAGAACCCTGGTCAGTTTTATCACAGTCAGGGGTCTTCTGTAATATCATCATCGCTACATAATAGCATGAACAAGTATATTTTGGCATTTTTAGGCAATGCTGCGGTCACAAGCTGAACAGCAATGCTGTTAGCTCATGCTGCGTGCGTCAGGCTTGGTTGCTCACCTCAATACTGAGGCCAATAACACCCGGGAGTTTGGCCCACAATTTTTTTTTAAAATGGCGTCTGTTTACAAGAGCCCTGATGAAGGTGTGGTGAACCCCGTGTATCCGCGGGCCGTTTAAATCTTGCATAGTACTCCAACACGTCATATGATGTGATGCGCAGTTGACTGGAACATCGTCCAACACGTCATATGTCGTGATGCGCACTTTAAGGGTTAAACAAGCTACAAGGATGAGGGAAGGGGACGTTCCCTCCATGCTAGATTTGATATTTACCAGGAAGGAGGAAGAAATATTTGACATTCAGTACCTTCCTTCCTTGGGTAAAAGTGACCATGTCTTTTTGGGAATAAAGTATGCAATGCGTTATAATCTGGAAGAAAATATGACGGTCGATGCAAATGAAAAACCTGACTTTAGGAGAGGACATTATGGCAACCTTAGAAAACTTTTTAGTGAGTATAATTGGACAGACTTGTTGCTAGGCAAGGAAGTGAACACTGTGAACACTGTACATCGAGTGGACACTGTACCAAGGCAAGGTAGGTAACGAATATGAGGAATGTTGAAACGAGAAGGAGAGACGAGGTGAACACAAAAGAAGGACTTGAGGGGAACCTCACTGAAGCCAACATACGAACCAAGAACATTCAAAGTACCGAAGAGGTTTGCGAACCAACGAAAACCGAGACAAACATGCCCAAACACACGGAGGCACATATGGGCCCAAAGATACCCCAGACCAAGGGAAGTGCAGGAATCCCTAAATGAAAGGAACAGCAGTGCGACATAAACACGAAAAAGGTGAGTTTTTGAAGCACGCGAACAGAGACGGAACTGAACCCAGGGAGGGGTAGACCCGAGACCAACATGAATGTATAGGGGGAAGGGAAAACCCCACTCTGAGGAACTGCAAGCCCCACTCCGAGATTACAAAACGCCAAGCGGGGCAAAACGGGGCCTAGGCCCCCCAGACAACCCCTCCCCAACCCCGGGAACCCCTACGGCAGGATCCAGGGCCAAGTCATTTCCCTAAAGCCCCAGCCCCACAAGTAAAAGCTGGGGCAGCCATACAAAACACTAAGGAAGAGAACTCACTGGTCAGACCCATATGGCACAGCTGAAGGAACAGGCTCTAATGCCTCTGGTGCCACCCCGGAAGAGGAAAACGCCTGAGACCGCCCGAGTCTCAACCCAACCAGACTCTGCCCCAACCCCGAAACCCTCCTACGGTTCGGAGCCGGAAGCCAGGGGAAGGAAGCATGCACAACAAAAGGGGGAAAGGACAAGGAGGAGTGGACGGAACTGGAGCCGAAGCGACTCCCACCCCTCATGTCCGGACCCCTTACCAAAACGGGCAGTCTCGGGGCATCCGGGGCCACAACAGGATGCGTTGCTTCCAGTTGTGGCCCCAACTCTGTGGCTCTCAACCAACCTAGAGCTTTGCAGCAACCTAAACCTAGCATGCAATGCCGCAGCTGCCGGCAACCGCACATCATCTGTGGTGTGGGTGAATGGGAGCACGTACAGACAACACACGCCGCACAACTCCGGGTCGAAACAATTATCGACCCAACAGGCAGCAAGGCGGCGGCAAAACAGGCGAGTGTCACCCTGAGACAAGGGGACAAAGCAACCTTCAAACTCGCAAGATGCGAGGAGGGGACTCGGGGGTCATATCCATCAGACTACGGAGCCCCCGTGGGGTTTCCCAGGACCCTTAGCCATGGTTACACACTACGGGAAGCCCAGGCAGGGTACTGCGAACCGGCGCCCAATTTTACCAAACAAACAGCTAAAGCTGAATCCCCGGGATGTGTCCACTCATGGGGACCAAGTGGGGAGGACTACCAAACACAGAATTACAGATATATACGCCCCAAGAGCAACGATGGGAGACCACAACGGCAGACCCCCCACCAGGCAGAAAAGAAAAACTAAAGTAAAAACCTGTAAGAGGACCTAGTGGTCCCTGGTAGGCAAGAATTCCATGCATTGACTGATGCCAGAAAGATGTACATATCCATTCAGCCTAGATAGCTCCGGGAAGCTGATGGAGTTCCTCCCAGAAAACCAGCAATGAATGTAATGAAACCCCATTTTCTGGGCGAGTCCCAGAGGCTTCCTGGAGCTATCCAGGCTGATATGATTATTTCTAACTTTGGCACCAATCGATGTGGGTGGAGTTCTAGACCATGAGCCAGAATCTGGCACCCTCTCACAGAGGCATGAGGAGCAATGGTCTATAGAAATGCACATATAATTTTGGAGCATTCTATATCTGCCATCGATCAGGACTGGCACCCAGAAAGGTAACCGCTCCAAACCAACCTCTATTCTGGTTAAAAACAACAAAAATATACAAAGGAGAGGGCATAACTCCCCAAATGAAAATGAGCAAACAAGCATGATGCCGCATGTCTGCACAGCTTCTCCCTCCCCAGGAGGGTGAAGGGGTAGCCCCAGACCCCCATGCCAGCAATCCATCCTGCAGTTCTGAGGCTGGATGTTAAAAACATGTGAAAAAAACGCCGACCGGAGGGAGGGAGGGTTGCCAGGGAGCCTCCGTGACTTACCCAGAAAATAACGTTTCATTACATTCAACGCTGGATTTCTGGGGGGGAGTCCCTATGGCTTCCCAGAGCTAACTACCCAAAGCCAAGTAGAAAAGAGGGACAAACTCGGGAGGCAAAAATCACGCGCCTAAACCTGAAAATAAAACAACTGGCAACACCAAATGACTCGCAGATGACCCGGGAGACCTGAACCCTGGGATAGGGATGAAGGGAACCTGGACAACCCAGAGTGAGTCCAGGGCCACAAAGACTGCAGCACGCAGGCAACGGCTAAGAGCCACAACTGGACACAAGAAGATGCACCCCTGGCCAACCAAGCAGCAACAGCCCCAGGAACTCCTCCAGAAAAATAACCGTACCAACCTCCCCAGAAAAGAGGAGACAGCCGCAAACGAACAAACCGATCACCAGAACCCGATCACTGATCAGTGCTCCTGGAAAGTGTGCGCCGGGGACGGGAAAGTGTTAAACAGGAAAATTTTCATTTATTTTTCCAGCACACTGCTGTGTTGTTAGGGAATAATATGCATGCATCCTGAGAAGTAATCTAGATATTGAAATTAACATGCAAATGGAACATAATAAGCTATCAAGAACTATATTTTATAGTAACAATCTTATCCTTACCTCCATTATCAGATGGACAAGAGAGACTCTGTCATCACGTTGGAAGGCCAGTGAGCAGGGCAATACATTGAGAGATCGAGCTACTTCTGTAGGGGGTGGGCCCTTGGATGGTGGTGGACGGACAAACACTGCCTCCCGCATGCACACTTGGGGATACAGTGGATCCACCGACAGACTGTACAAGATGAGGAATTTGATGTATCCGCTTAATTTATATAACATTACATAACATTAGAATATTAGCGAAGAAAGTCTTGAAAAACCAGCGTTGAATGTAATGAAACGCCATTTTCTGGGTGAGACCCGGAGGCTCCCAGGAGCTTATCCAGGCTGATATGCTAATGTCAGACATTGGCATCAGTCATGTGTATGGAGTTCTAGGGCCTACCAGAGACCACGAGCCAGAACCTGGCTCCCCTCAGAGAGGCATGGGGAGCAATGGCCTATAGAAACCCCCGTGTGGTTGGAAGCATTTTATGTCTGCCATCGACTGGAGGAATCAACTCGAATGCGTTGGGGGCATCCAAATGGGCAATCAACCCAGTGCATTGCGGCAACCTAAACCGAGCATGCAACGCAGATGTCACCTGTAACCAAACCTCAGTGTCAATAGAATGGGTACAGTAAATTGGAGCACGAGCAGATAACACATCTCGCAAGTCAAACGTGTGATTAACCCAACAGGCAGCATGATGGAGGTAAAACTGGTGACTATCACCCTGAAACAAGGGCACAGAACAACCTTCAAACTCAAACAAGGTGAGCTGGAACTCGGAAGACGCATTCATTGGTCTACCAAGTCCTGACGGGGCTTTCCAGGGTGCACAGGCAGACTGCTACAGGATACCCAGGCAAGGTGCTGCAAAGCCGGTTAAACCTAAGAACTAACAAGGGAGACTGAGCAAAAAACTGAACCCTTGTGATGTGTACAATCATGGTGGGCCTAGAGGAAGGCCACCAAAATACCCTAAGAGGGCCAAGATCCAAACAAGGCAGACCCCCTCCAGGTAAAGAAAACAAAACTAAAAGAAAAACCCTGCAGAAGGTAACACATATCCAGAAAGAATAGGAACAAGGCCGCTGCTTTGGTAGACAAGCTGCACAACACCTTGCGCCCCTACCAGCAACAATACCACCCTTTACCCAAGGCCAAACAAAGGCCATGAAACCCTAGCTGGCCCCATGTGTGTGGTAAATGCCGAGCAGCAAGATTCCCTACAGAAGTGGAGTCCCGAAGGCATTATGGAAGGTAACCCTTCCATAGTGCCTTCCACCCAAGGACAGTACTTACAGGGCACTTAGGGAAGGTGACCCTAAGTGCATGCAGCACCAGTACACTAATGTTACACCTGGCCACCACACTACAAACAGCAAAAAGCAGCAAAACACTGCCAAGAAATCAAGACCAGAGTTGACGGCCGCCCCAGATCGGATCAGCCAATGGACTAAGGGTGTGACTAGCCAGTGTGGGGTATCCGGGGCTCTCCCACTTCCCCTCCCGGGGAGAGGAGGGCTGCGGGGAGAGGAGGGATGCGAGGACAAGCGTCGTGGCAACGGTGTGTGATGTTTGTGTGTCAGCCTTCTCATTTTTTCTAGCAAAGAATGAGACGGCTGGATTCTGGAGGGGTCAATTGGTTGTGGATGATTGGTTGGTTAGGCCGGGGTTGCATCACATGTTATGTCCAGTGGCAGCTTTACACCACTACCTGCAGGTCACTGGTTCTGTGCTGGTGGACGCTCTTTGGGTGGATCTGGTTTTCCCTGGTTTCGTGTTCCAGGGCTTGTGTGTCTCAGGTTGTCCGCAGTGTCATCAAGTCCAGCCAGCCTTCAGTCTACCCCTTGTACCCATGATATTTGGATGTATGATGCTCTCGCAGCGGTTTTTGGCAACATGTCTTGATTAGACATTTGGGCATAGGCGTTTTGGAGGTCGAATTGGATCCTGGCTGCCAAATATCTAGTGAATGCTATGGTACCTTCCTGGCCATTTGTGGCTTTGGGCCGCCTGTCTCGGCCATCTGTCTCTTCATATTTATTCTTATTCTTTATTATTAAAATTTATTATTAAGATGTACTAAAACAATTGTATGTCAGAAAATCACTATGATCACTAACAACTCTAGGTAAATCACACCATGCATTTCACACTATACAATGAATATCATATGGGGGGGGGAGACATTTATAAATGGTAATATTTCTTAAATCATTTAACTTAGGCCTACCCTGACCAATCTATGTTAATCCCATATCCCAGACCATTCCCTCTGCAAATTTGGATGAGGCTAATCCCCAAGCATCTAGCCTCCAACTACGGACAGAGAAGCAAATACATTCTTTCTTATACAAACAGTATTTTTTCCTTATAGTTATTTTAATTATAATGCATTATGGGGGGGACACAGGAAGCCAGAGTTATTCATACACATTAGGCTTATATATTAACTCGTGAGTACCTATGTACTGCTAGGTGAAAAGGCACATTAGGTGGAGGGAAATACTGTATGTCCAATTATTTCTGTCCTGCCCGGGATTCAAACCCGGAATTCTTGATTAAAATACAGTAGCGGTACTATACTGCAGATTAAAGCAGTGTACTTTAAGTACAGCAGCAAGTTCCATACCTGGCATCAGCCTGCATAAAGAGCCTCATGTTGTCAGCATTTGCTGAGGATCCCATGACCATGGTAACCTCGGTGTACTCTTGCATGATGGTGAGCATGGCACAAGTTGCTGGTGGAGTGCAGTCCGTGAACAAAGATACTAGTAATGGAACATTATCTACATTTTCAAGATGTGGCTTAATGTTCTCAATTCCTTTTGGAAGGCGTGCCTGAAAAATTAAAAAATTACAATTGTCATTTTGTATACCTAAGTTTCTCCATAGACCTACCAATATACCCAGAGTTGCTCTACAGAGCATTGTACCAATATACCTAAGTTGTTCTGCAGAACACTGTGCCAATATTCCTAAGATCTTGGTGAGATTTTCTTATTTTGGTTTCACTAATTCACTAGTGATGTGTAGATTATACTTTGCGAGACTGAGAATAAAAGAGGAAAGCAGCCACCGGTGTCCAATTGCTTGGTCCCCTATCCACTAGGTCGTTAAGCTCCTTAAATGCCTAGGGCAATGTTAAGGGGTAACTAATAGGTCCTCACACTGAATTTATATGCTGTGATACTGGCCATGACTCAGGTTCAAATCCAGAAGCAGGCCTTCATTAAGTCCAAGGAATAGTCTTGTCTAGATTGTTGCAGCATGAACGAGGGCTAAGTATCGTTGAAGAGTATTGACATAAAAACACTTCTTTCATTAACAACAATTTATTACATAACTTAATACTAATACAAAGCACAACTTTAACAATGCATTAATTGTCCTCAGAGTGACACTAATGACAGCTAATCAAACAGCCCTTAGTATACCATGGACTCCTGTCCGTACCACTCTTGGCTTGTATACTGAACTAGAGTGAACAATACGGGTGCTCACTTGGACTCAAGATGCAAATCAAACAATTGCAGCAAAACAATTAACACCAAAGCAAACACAGCAAGACAGGTCACTGAGACAGTCTCTGGTAATGCTCTGAAATTAAGTTAACAAGTCTCTATGGACAGAACTCAAAACAATTGCAATTACTTGACCGTTCTTATCACATAGACAGGAACAATTGATTCCCAAATCATTTTAATCAAAATAACAATTTTGATAATTACATTAATTAATTTTGTTAATTATGTAATTACTGTCTTCCAGACAGTCAACAAAGGTAATTTACGTTGATGACAACCTAGTAAAGTAAGTAGTAAGGAAAGTAAATTTTATTTAGGAAAGTACATACATAGTTGATTTACAAACATAATGTTGGATTTATAGATAGAGCTAGTAGAGCTAGTAGTAGTAGAGCTTTCTTTCATCCTAAACCTGCTTCCAACACTAGTAGCACTGTACTATGCCTTCCCTTCATATCTGAACTCAAAACTTTTACCAATACCTTTCGTCCTCTTGACAATAAACTCGCCTTTCGACAAACTAACACACTTCGTAGCAATCTAGTTCACACTGTTCCTCCTGCTTCTAATGCTGCTGGTGTCTACTCTATTTCCTGTTCGTCTTGTCCTCTCCAATACTTTAGTGAAACTGGCCGTACACTGAATGACAGACTTAAAGAACACAAGAGAAGTGTTAAGTCTGCAGACACTAACAATGCTCTCTTCTGCCATGTGAGGGATTCTAATCATCCCAATGATTGGTCTTCCTCCAAAATAATCTTTCCTGCCTCTACTCTACACAGACGCCGTCTTGTAGAATCGGCTCTTATAAACAATGTACCCAACATGAACTTGAGTCCTGGCTTTATTGCTGTTGACTCTTCCCTTTCACAGTATATACTCAAATGCTCTAATCTTTCTAACAAACGTGACCTAACATCAGCTTACCCTTCCATTTAGCTTTCTTTCTCTTTCCTTTTCTTTCTCTCTTCGTTCTTTTTTCTGTTCATTGTTTTCTCCTACGTTCCCTTGGTATCCTCTTCTTTTTTCTATTACTATCTTCTTCTCATTCGGTGGTTATAATAGGAGCTGCCTCGTTTGGGCCAATAGGCCCTCTGCAGTTCTTATTCCTACTACAATCCCCTCTACTACACCTTACTTTGCTCCTCACCTCTCTCTTACCTAATTATTGGCTGTTTCTACCTCCTCATCACAATCGACTTGAGAATGGTCCAGAACGGACCGAAACTTCGTCATCCCTTCACCTTCTAGTGTGTGGTCTGGTCAACATACTTTAGCCACTTTATTGTGACTCATCGCCTGCATAGAGCTAGTACATACAATACCTAAAGCCACTAGTACGCATTGAGTTTCAGGCAAGGTGAGGTGGGGAAAACACTTAGACTAAAACTTAATAGTAATTGAGCTTAAAGTATAAATTGTGTTGAAAAAAATAAAATAAAAGATACAAAAGGGGGGGAACATGGTAGAAAATAGTCAATATACAAGTTGGTCAACAAGCAGCATTGTTTAACCCTCAAATCGCGAGGGGTCCAAAAGCTTCAACACCCACAGGCGCAACAAAAAAAAATCCAAAAAATTCTATTGTCTTATAAAAGTGTTCATTTTTGTTCCCTGATCACGGAAAAAAATTAACAAAAAAAATCGTAGGTGGCATATTTTAGCCGCAATAGGGTAGGGAAATCTGGCAAAAAACCAGCGGTGAATGTAATGAAACACCATTTTCTGGGTGAGACCCGGAGACTCCCCGGAGCTTACTAGGCTGATATGCTACTGTCAGACTTTGGCATCAGTCATGTGTATGGAGTTCTTAGGGCCTACCGGGGACCACAGCCAGAACCTGGCCCCCTCAGAGAGGCAAGGGAAGCAATGGCCTATAGAAACCCCAGTGTGGTTGGAAGCATTGTAAGTCTGCCATCGACCGGGACAGGCACCCAGAAAGGTAAGCGTCCCAAAACAAACCCCCTATTCTAGTGAAAATTGCTATCAAAAGCCGAACAAGTGGATAGAATTCCCCACAAAGAAATGAGTAAACAAGCATGATGTCACACGTCGCCACGCCACTGTCTGCACAGCTCCCCCTCCCAGGAAGGGGGAGCCCCAGACCTTCGCCCGGCTATCCACTCTTCAGTACTGAGGTTGGATGTCAAAACGCGTGAAAAATAAACGCTGACCGGGGAGGAAGGAGGGATGCCGGGGAGTGTCGGAAAATCCGACACCATTTAATATATCATACAGACAGATAATAACTGCTGTATTGTATAAACAAGTAACCCATAGAAAACGTAACTTGTAGTGGAATTACCGTCTATAGAAAACGGGATATCATCACCACATACTATTATAAATTCTCCACCTATTCTGGTGGGAATTATTCTTAAATACATTAGTCTTTGGACTTTACCATCATAAAAACATCTCATATAAATTAACTTAATTATCAATATTAAAGTAGAGTAAATGTGACCCTTCTATCACTTTCTGTCATCTGGACAATGTAAGTCAGGCGTCAGGGTGAGGGAGTGGCAGCCATTGTTATTGTCACCTCCGAGACGCGTGGAGCAAATTTGGCTCCTATTATATCTGGACAATGTCGGCCAGAAGCGTCAGTAGTATGGAGTGTTAGACATTGCCATTGTTTATATTGAGACCACAGAGGCTCACGGGAGCAAATACGGCTCCTGTTAATTTTACTTGGACGTAGTGTTATGGAAACCAAAGGTGTACCATTATCAACACCCTGTCAACAAATCAAGTTAAGTGTTCTTCCGAAACCCATGTATCTTTCATTTATGGCCATTAATGTCATTATATAGGGTGACCCGGTTAGAGCACGTGGTAGCCTCAAACTAAAGGTAATTAAGCCAGGTCTTCATTGTTCCATGTACAGTATTTTCTCTGATATACCTGTCATATATAGGATTCTGGCTTTACAGCTAGCGCCCTTTTGACAGGTCAAGACGAGGAAGCATGCTTTGTGCATCAGTTACCAGGGTGATGGAAGCTCCTCAAAGAGGGAAAATGTGGTGTCTACACCCTAGTTATACCTGGTGGACTAAGACCTGCTGTACTATAAGATAAGGAACCTCTTCAATGTTTAATAATGTGTAGTTAATACTGTAGTTTGATTGGCTGCATATATATAAATTAATATAAACCCCCCTAATGTGTAGAGGATCGATTTGTGAGATTGAGATTATTGCAGAAATACAGTCCACTTATCATTATACAAATTGCTATCGAAGTATATAAATTAACGTAAATATAAATTCATATAAATTAAATAAATATAAATCTCACAGGTCGGTTCCCACAGGGAGCCTCCAAGTCTCACCCAGAAAATGGTGTTTCATTACATTCAACGCTGGTTTTCTGGGGGGGAGCCCCTTCGGCTCCTTGGAGCTAACTACCCACAGAGGAAAAGAAAAGGGACTTACCCCAGGAGGCAGTCGATGCTCCCCCTCAACTTGAAGTCGAGACAACTGGCTGCAATCGCTGACCCAAGCGACACAGGCCCGACTAGGCTCAGGAATGTTCCTGAGACATCGAACAGCCAGAACCCAGTTTGACCGCCAAAATCCTTGCGTCTGAATGTCAGCCCAGGACATGTCGCCAAAAACGGCAGCAAGAGCCACGAACTTGGAAATGTAATGGGCACGTGGATAGACCGCAGGCTGGCTAGCTTTAACAACCCTGCGGACGACCTGGGAGACCTGCACCCGCGAACAGGGAAGAAGGGAAACCGGATCAATCCAAAGCATGTCCCCAGACACAGAGGCTGAGGTGAGCAAATAACGGCGGAGGGCCGTAATCGGACACAAAACATGATTCACCTCAGTCCGACCAACCAAGAATCAACAACCAAAGGACCCCTCCGGAAAGCAGCAGTCACATCCCTTGCCAGAAAAGGAGACATCTGCAGACAAACAAACCTAACGCCACGACCGAAGGAGCAGAAAACCCCAGCGCCGGAGGAGAGCAATCCTGAACCGAACGGGCCACAACAAACCATGGAGAAGAAAAGAGAGCACTATGTCCAATGACCAGGACAGCTCAGGCGGCGCATGAACAGGCCAGAGGTGAAGCGACGCATGAGACAGCCTGCGAAATGGCACAGATGTAACATCAATACTGACAGCAAGCTGAAGCGGCTCTGCCAGCGCAGCACGGAACGAGGCAACAGGTTGGGGCAAGATGACGTCACCGAACCTTCACAAGAGAAGGATAAGACCATGCCAACAATGGACCTACCTAAGAAGGGGCAGAAGGAAAAGGAAGGACCGGCAAAAAAAAAAAAACACTGCCACCAAGAAG